CTTTTTAACAAATTGAGTAACATTATTTCTTAAATTAAAATCAATACCAGTCATACATAAACACACACATCAGGAACATGTAAACCCCGTGAGGCTGCATATACAGAAAAATAAGATTTTACACTTTATTATTGAAAGTGGGAGACACATTTTAAGCTGTTCAGACGGTTTATATATTAACAAAAATGACACAAAACACCAACAGATGTATTCAAATGGACAACATTCAGTATTTAAATGTGCATTAGCAGTCCAGAATTATTTTAAAGCACTGAGTTAAAGGATTTAAAGATGAGTTATTTTCTGTGTGAACATGCTGTTAGTACGGTGCAAATGCTACATTATGATGACATTAAAATGACTAATGGTGCTTCACGTATTGCAGACTATTTGTAGAGGGCTGAACAASTGTTCACACAATCCTGCTCTGCAGCACACTTCCAAAGGTCAGAGCTGTCACATAATGACAGCAGCACACTTGCTGCACAGCAAAGGATATCTGCAGAGGCCTTGTAACCTCATGTTAAGTCTTTGTTTCACATACCGAAAATAACGGAGGGATTTAACYAACATGATGTGAGTTTATGAGATTAAATGTGAGATTTTTTTAGTTCTTTTTTGATTTTTTTAAAGCATGGTCCTTGCAGTGGGAAGCACTCTGGAGCCTGTGGCTCACCAGCCTCCGTGGCCCCATGAAGACAGTCGCTGTTCAAAAAAATCCTGCTCCTGTTAACTCGAAGTCCTTTGCTCCTTGAGGATATCATAGATATCGTCCACTTTGCTAAGTCTCTCAAAGAAGGGGAGCAGATCAAGGAGCTCGGTGTCTGACTTGTCGTCAAACCAGGAAACTACAGGAACCTGCCAGTTCAAAACAACCACAATGTGTTTCAATGACATCATACTGAAAGATCACGGAGAAATATGTGTAAAAACTTACCGCGTTGTCCGGGTGGAAGATGTAKGAGGCTGGGGAGTTGTCTATGATGATGACCTTGTTGAGGTCTCTTCCTAATCGGCTCAGATCTTTAACGTAGTTCCCTTTGTGGAACACACACGCCTCCCGGAAGAGTCGGCTCTGGAAGGCCCCGCATTTATCCAACAAGTCTGACACAGGATCTGCGTACTACAGGAAGACGACAAAAAATGCTGGCAAGCTGCTAAACGTGTTTTCTTACAAGCTTGACAGTGAAATAAGTCTTCTGTGCACAGCAGAAACAACAGCAAATAATATTTAGCTCAGGACATAAGAGAAAAGGTAAGGTAACTTATTTATATAACACTTTTCAGCAGCAAGGCGATATAAAGTGCTATAAAACCTAAAATATAAAACCAATTAGGGAGATCTGAAAATGTTTAGTGTCACATGGAAGTCATGGTTAAATTGTAATATTCATGATGAACCTCAAAGTGTCTGAAAACAAACCTTGGATAAGCTGGCGGTGAACAAAACACACTCAAACATTTCCCCCATCCTATTGAGGAATTCATCAACGTGGGGCCTCTTCAGTACGTACACCTGCAGGCAGATTCAACAAGTGTGAATTTAAGAAAAAACACATCACCATTTGTATCATATTTGCTACGTAAGATTCTGTGACCTATATTTTATCAATGTGATCAATATTTTCCCCAAAAACCTGTTGTATTCCATGTGAGACCTGTATTCTGCCTCTGGTGGATTAACAATGTACTGCAGGAAGTGGAACTTTTTTTTAAACCTTTTCAAAATGTCTGCTGACATGAGGTC